TCCTCCTCCTCCTCCTCCTTCTCCTTCTTCTCCTTCTCTCTCTCTCTCCTTCTCCATCCATTACGATGCTCATTTTCTAAAAGATAATTCTTGACGACACAACCTCCACGTGTGGAAAGTGCTCAAACGAGGCGGAGACAAAGGCTCGATACGTTTCTGGGTCACAGTCGCAGTCTTCACCGGGCTTCAGCCACTGAGCCACCAAGCGTGGGAGGACATGCAAATTTCCCACGATACCCGCGAATTTCTACGATTTCTCAGACGTTCGGATACGATATCGAATTGTTTATGCAAACAAGGGAGTAGAATCGGGGCGGATAATTGTTTCTCGTTTATTCAATCATCGTGGAACATGTGACTGAAGAGAATAAACGAAAATAAATAATTTAAATTTAATTTTTCGAGGAACGATATTATTTGTAAAAATAATATTATTAACATTCGTGTTCGAGATCTTTATATTGCTAGTTTCTGTCCTTTGCAAATAAAATTAATTTATTATTGGTCATCGTCATGGTCGAGTGTAAAATTTTAATTATTTTTTTTTCCTCTCTTTATCGAAACAAATGAAGAACGATATTTGAAAATCAAATAAAAATTCCCATATATATATATATGGATTAAATAATGAAACTGTATGTGAACTGTAAATATGAAATGTGATTTTGCGTACATCCGAGTCCAGTTACGAGGTGTAGTTTAAATGATAAGACGAGAAAGTGGAACGAATCGATGCGAGTGCACTCGCAGAAAGAGTGCAAAACACTCTCGCTACTATCTTTCGTCGAATAGGCCATGTGCACCATATTTTTAGCGCGGATTTACATTTACGGATCGCTAACACGACGATTAACACATTCGAAAATGTAATTGGCAGGTAATTTTATTTTTTTTCCTCCTTTTTTATTTTATCTTCTTTTCATGCATTATACTTTTTAAATACGTATTATTCATCTATTTTTAGCAGCAGCAAAAAAAAAATATGATAACGTACGAGCTAATTTTTAAATCCTCAAATATTTAACGCAAATGACAAACAACGAAATGATGAATCTCATAATAAAAGAAGTAATCGAATCTTTGTTTGAAAACAAAATTTTTTAATCGATAATTTTGCAATTAAAAAAAAAATAATTAAGTTTTATAAGAAAACACTTTATTCTGTAAAATACTTTATGAATTTTTCCTTTCCTCGAAAATAATCCTTTTTTCTTGATTTCAAAAGAAAATCATCAAAGTTAAAAAATTTGAGATACGTGTCGACTAACGTTGCTAAACGTTTGAGGCTTGTATTTATTTACCAATCGTTGGATATCGATTTAAAAAAAAAATATCAAAACTCACGATGGATGCATTGTGGCCGTTATCAATTACGTAATTTCGTTATCTATCTTCGGCAAGTTCATCGTGCTTTTATAGTTGGTACACATACACACGCAATTTGGCTTCGAATGACAGCTGTCCCGCCGATAACCGACTCAGTTAACGACTATAATGTTTTTATGCAATCCTCGTGCCAAATATATCGCGCTATGTCGAGCAACATTCAAAAAAATTTACACGATAAATTTCGGCGAACGAATTTATTTTATTCGATCTAATCGAAATATTTTCGAAAAATTGTTTAATATCAAGATATATAAGAAGTGCGTAACGTTGAAAAAAAATTTTTTTTCCCGTACAAAAGCTCGAGTAAAATATTTACTCGATCAACAATGTTGAAAATATAATTTAAACGTTGAAAAAGAAGGATACAAAATTTCAAGTTCAATTCTTTCGATAAATTAAGAATAAATTTTATTTAACTAAAAAAGTTATTTAATTAAAAATTCGCAATGGTTTTATAAGAAGAAAAAAAAAATTGCAAAAATCGTTATCACCACTCTTATCGCTTTTATGAAGTGTCAATCGTATTTTCCCGCTTTTCCTATATCTCGTTTTATCTCCTGGTTATCTTAGGCTATCTTGTCCCATCTTAAACAATTCTCTATCCAGAGATGATTCAGTGATCTTTGTTAATAACGATAGAGATAATTACAAATAAAACTCGTCTTTCATCTTTCGAATAGACAG